GAGTATGCCAGGCCTTGTCATCCTTTACGCCAGCATTGTCAAGAAAAAATGGGCAGTTAACTCTGCTTTCATGGCTCTTTACGCTTTCGCAGCTGTACTCATATGTTGGGTATTAGTAGGCTATCGTATCGCCTTTGGCGATAAGCTTTTGCCCTTTTGGGCAAAAGGGGCCCCTGCTTTAGGCCAAAAATACTTAACAGGACGAGCAAGAATGCCAGAGACAACGCATTATTATAGCGATGGAACGACTATAGAATCTCCTATGCATGAACCTTTTTATCCTATGGCTGCACATGTCTATTTTCATTTCACTTTTGCTGCTATTACCATGATTTTGTTGGCTGGTTCTGTTCTTGCTCGTATGAATATCAAAGCTTGGATGGCTTTTGTTCCTCTTTGGCTTATTTTTTGTTATACTGTTGGAGCTTTTAGCCTTTGGGGAGGTGGATTTCTTTATCATTGGGGTGTGATTGATTATTCTGGTGGCTATGTTATTCATCTTTCTGCTGGAATTTCTGGATTCACCGCTGCTTATTGGGTATTACAACCAACTAATTCTCCCCTTTTCGTTTATTCATTCGACTCTGTTTTACTCTGTTATGATAAGTTCGATCCAAAATTTAAAGCTATGTTGTTCAAACTCTTCAAAAATGTCGACAGCTATGTGTTGGATCCGAGCAATTTAAAGTCAAATTAGTTTATTTGGAGTCAGTATGATTTAGAGGTGAATTCAGGATTTAAAATTGACGTGTTCAACCTTTAGGTTTTACAGCTAAACTCATTACAATTTTGAAATTAGGTGATCAAAATTTTGATTTTCTTTCAACTTTTAGTGATTTAGTCTAGCCTTTAGATCACATAGCACGATCGGATATTACATGATTCGAACTGAAAGTAGTGGATTATTTTTTCTCGTATATATTAATTGAGTTGATTGGATATGTTGATGGCAGGTTGGGCCAAGATTGAAGAGTGATAGGGAAAGGTTTCCACCAAACAATGTGTTGTTGATGCTTGCAGGAGCAGGGTTACTTTGGATGGGTTGGTCAGGTTTCAATGGAGGAGCACCTAATGCTGCAAATGTAGCTGCTCCTTTGGCTGTTTTAAACACTAATATTTCAGCAGCTACAAGTCTTCTTGTTTGGACAACTCTAGATGTTTTTTACTTTGGCAAGCCATCCGTTATCGGAGCGATTCAAGGAATGATGACCGGCCTAGCTTGTGTAACTCCCGGAGCAGGTAGTTTAAGTTTTATATACTAACAGTTGAAAAATAGTTACACTATGATACTTACAAGTATATTTCGATTATAAAGATTAATTGGTAACCTTATGAAAACTAACTAGATAGAATATGTCAAATTATACTAATATTATGATTTATGTTTTACTTTGTTGTATAGCTTAAATCCCACAAGAAATAAACTTGCAATTGGTTCTCTTATTTATTGCTCCTATTATCTAAAGTTCAAAAATATTATTGATCCCTCTTTTGTTGACCATTAAGTAAAGATTTATTGTTGTTGAATATGTGTAAAACATCTAGATTAGGAAAACTTACGAGTCAAATTCTGTCAACAATGTGAGGTTACTTGAAAAATATTTCAAGAAAAATAAAGAATATTGTGCTCTCTTATTGGTTGTTTTTGTGTATGGAGAAGTCCAATTTTATGTGACAACTATTTGATTGAACATGTAATTTAAGATATTATAGAAAAAACTTGTGACATGTAAGACAAAAGTAAACAAAATATCAAGCATTCTTTTTTAAATGAGTGGTGGTGAGAGTTCTACATGTCTTGTGATTTTAACTGACTCGTAATGAGGAAGGACCTAACAAGTCGTGTCATCGAAAATGAGTAATACTAAAATTAAATTATTGATGTAGGAGTGGTGCAAGCTTGGGCAGCCATAGTAATGGGAATTCTTGCTGGAAGCATTCCATGGTATTCCATGATGATACTCCACAAAAAGTCCACTTTTCTACAGCAGGTACGATAATTGTACTTACTTTAATAATCTTCCATCTTTTCTTTTTTTTTTGTAAAGAATATTACTTGTTCTATAGAGTATTTGGTAATTGTCTTTATATATGATTGTTGAAATTGAATATAGTGTGTATGTCAAAATAAGTTGCTATAACTATCCAACCTTCCCCTTGTCCCTACGGCTCTTATAATGTCATACTCAAATGAAGGAGAAAAGTAGGTAAGCACTAAAAAGTTTCAACAACTTGCCCTTTTTATTTTTGTTAGGTACACAAGCAAAATGTATAGTTTAATATTGACTCCCACATCGGTGACTTATAGCACGTTTGGTCAACCTTCTAAAGTCTGTTTATTTTAAAAAATATTTTTATCTCAAGTGTTTTTCGAAAAAGTATTTGTGGAGATTAACAATTTGTATTTGACTAATCATTTTGAAAAATGTGTTTGCCAATGTTATAGAAATAATAGGATTTATCTCTTATACATTGGGGTAAAAAAATATTTACACGGTCAATATATGTAAATTCTTGTAGCAGGTTAACTGCCTTTTTTTTTTAGGTGTTAATTCAACTTATTATGGATGGTTATCTCTAGTTATATTTTAGGCTAAGGGTGGGCATAGTTTGGGTCAACCCGAAATCCAAACTTTTTGGATATTTGGTTTGGATTTTTGGAGTATTTCATTTTTAAATTATATGGATTTTAAATTGGATATCCGAAACATGTGTGCCCAATGCTAGCTAGTATGTCGAATTTTCAAAGTTTCAATTGATTAGTACTCTATGACACTACCCATTATAGTACTAAGTCCAATATGAAGTTACACATCATGTGTGACAGGATGACCTCAATCTTTGTTAACTGCAAAAAGTTATAGTACATTTTAAGTAACAAACTATTAGGTGAACCGAGGTTGTTAATTTCCATTGTGTGTCTCAAACCGATTAATCCAAACCCGAACTTAAAAAATAATCCAATCTAAAAATTGATTTTTCATATCCAATCCGAACGGCCCCAACCCCCATTTTAGACTTAGATTGTAACTGACTTGCTTGTTGTATAATAACAGGTGGATGATACACTGGCTGTGTTTCACACACATGCTGTGGCAGGACTTCTAGGGGGTTTATTAACTGGTCTTCTGGCAGAACCATCTCTCTGTAATATTGTTCTTCCAGTCACCAACACAAAGGGTGCATTTTATGGTGGAGGTGGTGGAATTCTTTTCCTTAAGCAAATAGTTGCAGCTCTCTTCATCATTGGTTGGAACATAGTTGCAACGACGTTAATCCTACTTGCAATAAGGCTGGTCATTCCACTAAGGATGTCGGATGAGCAGCTAAAGATTGGAGATGACGCGGTTCATGGTGAAGAAGCCTATGCCCTTTGGGGTGATGGAGAGAAATATGATCCAGAAAGACATGGTTGGCAAGGCCCAACTTCTCCACCACAAACAACTACAGTATTGACATTTGATTTATAACATGTTATAAGGTCATACATCTATTGTTTAAAACTTTACAGGATTAGATTTGTACATCTTATAATGTGCATATGGAAATTACTGGAATTTCTACAGATCGTGTCGAGTTTGTGAGGTGAGTGCAAGATGTCCTGTATATATACTTACAAATTCCCTAAGTTTGTACACTAGTCTTGAGCCGAAGGTCTTTCATGAACTGATTCAGTACATTCTATGTTATATTATTCATATTCCCTTAGCCTAGTATCATTCCTTTTTGTCTCCCAAATTCTCAATCATCACATCTAGAATGACCTGACCCAAAATATGATAACAAGATAGGCTAATCTGTTGTGGAAACCTAAAAATCTGCAGTATCAACCTGATACCGCAAACCTGAATAGTCGTAAAATAACAAAAATTCTCAGTGATTTTGATTAGAGGAGCTACTAATTCATGTATACCCTGTGCTTTCAATCCAGGTTGGTTTGCCACTTAATTTATTGAACAGAAAAATATTCAACAAGTGTTATATATTCACTGTTCTTTCTAAACAGTTGTCTTAGAAAACCAAAATAAAATACATATCCGAACACTTATTACCACACGCTTATAGGACAAAATGTAAAACATTGAACTTAAAAGCTTTTAGTTCTACAACAAACGTCAACTTACCTTGACCTTCTCTGGTTTTTATTCCTGCCACTCCGACCCAAAATTCTGAAAAGAAGTCTATCGACGAGCTCATTATATTTTCGGCTAAGCAAAATCAGCCAGGTTATGATGCCAAAACCCACAGAAGATCCCAAGGCAAAACTTATATATTTCCCATCAATTTCACGTTCAGTTTCTTTGGTGTCACTGCACGTTTTCTTTAAAGGAAAATCGCACAGCCTTGTGTTCCCTTCAAAGGATTCTGCTGAGAATGTCTGAAGTTGGTTGCCACTTGGAATCCTACCAGAAAGTTGATTAAAAGATAGGTTCAAGAAAGAAAGGAATGTGAAACTCGCAAGCTCGTCTGGAATTCTCCCACTTAACTGGTTAACTGACAAATCTAAAGATTCAAGCAGAGTCAGCTTTCCAATGGCATTTGGTATTCTTCCAGTCAAAGAGTTGTGTGAGAAGTTAAGATGGATTAGTAATATGAGATTTCCCAATGTCTCAGGTATCTCCTTGTGAAAATTGTTTGAAGCAATATCTATAATATGAATCATTGGCCAGGTTTGTTCAGCTCTAAGACACTGGAGATTCCCGTAGAACTTGTTTGATCTTATGACTAGGACACGCAAATTGGATAATTTATTCAACATGCACGGAAACGTATCTCTTATCTTGTTGTTTCCAATGTCTAAAACCTCCAGAAATGAGCATTTTTCCAGAGAGCTTGGAACTTTTCCTTCTAATATATTACTGCTGAGGTTTAAAGTTTTCAAATTCCAATTCAGTGGAAATATGTCAGGAATAATGCCACTTAGTTTGTTATTTGACATATCAAGAATTTGAAGCTTATCTAGACTGTATATGGAAGAGTGTATTGATCCCGTAAATTCATTATTGGCAATTGAAAAGTAGGTAAGAGAAGTAGGTAGAATGGGTATATCGCCCTTGATCCTTATTGGAACTCAAATCAATGACAATAGAAGTAGTAGACAAATTGTGAGGTTTCTCTAGAGACTCTAAAAGATTGTGAGAAAGATTCAGATTCCCAACTGTCCAAACCCAACTTGGTATTTCCCCTTCAATTTTGTTGTTTGAAAGGTCAAGGGTGGTAAGCCTAGGAAGTCCCTTTACCGCTTCGATATCAATGGTTCCACTGAAGGAGTTGGAGAAAAGGAAGAGTTGTGAAAGCCTATTGAGTTTAAAGATTGACCGGGGGATCGATCCACTTAGATGGCTATTTCTCAAATCAAGTGTTTCTAGAACAGAGGAGGATGCATTAGGAAATTCATGGATTTCTCCACTTAATTGACTGTTCTGAACACTAAGGAACTGCAATGATGGCAGCGAAAGAAGAAGTGCTAATTGAGTTTGAGCAGAAGATAGTGGACCATTGTTATTAGAAAGGTCAATGCGATTGAGCTTTTTTGCCTTATGAAAGAGTGGGATAGAGCCAGTAAAACTGTTGAATGACAAGTCTAGATGAACTAGTTCTGTGAGATTTCCCATTTTTGGTGGAATTTCTCCACTGAAGTTGCAACTTCCTAAATCAAGCTGGGTCAAGTTCCGAAGGTTAGCAATTGAATCTGGAAGCGAACCGGTGAATCCTGTGTAGCTAAGCACTACCTCCCTTAATGCACTTTTATGTGGAAATTCAGGTAAATTGCCTGTAAGGTTTTCATTTCCAGATAAATCAAGTTGCTGTAGAGTTGGTACCTGAAAGATTTTACTGGGAAATGGACCAAACAAGTAACACCATCTGACACTTAGGATTGTCAATTTTGTAAAATCTGCCAGAAAATCTGGAACCATAGTGGACAAGTAGTTATAATCGAGACGATTGACTGAAAGGAAACGAAGATTTAAAAGGACAGGATCAAGAGGGCCGGAAATTTTACAGTCTCTCATCGACAAGACTCTCAATTGAGGCAGAGATGAAGATAACACCGAGCACCACTCACTCCCCTTCAATGAAATATTCACCCTATCAAGGTAAAGTTCTCTAAGATTTGCAAGATTCCCTACCAGTGTTTGCAGATCTGACCTCTCAAGCTTTAATTCCCCTCCAGAAAGGTCAAGAATCTCTAACTTGATCAATCTTGACAATTCCATAGGAATCTGCCCGTTAAAACTAGCATGAGACAAATTCAGGTACATCAAGTTTGCCAGCTTATAAATTTCTCTTGGTATTGGAACAGGGTATAGGCCATAATAAGCCAGATTGAGCTTCTCAAGATATTGAAGATGGAAGAGACTGCTTAACTTCTCAATTCCGCCAGAAATGGCTTCGTCGTCCAACTCCAGAGCAAGCACATGACCTTCCTCATCACAACTTACACCTGACCACTGGCAACAGTCAATACTGTTTTCATCCCACATGACTAGTTTGGTGGACACAGAAGAGTCGAACGTGAGGTCGTTCTTGAATTTAATCAACAAGGCTTTTTGATCCTCCAAACATTGGCCAGAAGTAAAGTTAGAAAACACCACAAGGATAGTGATGAAAGAAACCTGAAGGAGGAGTAATATTTTCATAGTGATTATACTAATGAAACTGCAAAATAAGTTGCCTTTAAATAGTACTTAAGTATACAGAAAAGGGTCTTTAAATTATGTGAAATTGAACACAATTCCCTTCGTTAATAGTTTGGTCCAAAAATGTCATTGTGGTCAACCAGGTCTTGGGTGATTGAGGTGTCTTTAATTATTCTACAACAATTTGGTTTCTTTCTGCAGTTTTCTGTTGACTTGAGTGTTGTTGCATGTGGAATAAGAGTTGATGCACTAATATACGTAGGAATTTAAGGAGTGTCATGATCAGTGACCAAGTCAATAATTTCACTTAGGAAAATTAAAAAATTAAAGTTGATTCTCTTGAATGTGGGATAGTTTTCTGTTGACTTGAATAGTTTATATTGTGCAAGTCAACCTAAAGTATAGTGTTATAGCATAAGTTGGTTTTCCTTCCCCAGATGAAGTCGGAGTGTTATCTGAGGGAGGTTCCATAGGGCGTTTACTCTCTAAGAAATGACCGTATAGACTAATCTACTGAAATTAATAGAGATCACTAATATATAGTCATCTTAAGAATATGCAGAAAAATAGACCAATTTGTTAGCATGATGGACAGATTATTATAAGTGGGAAGCTCCTAACCTCAAAGTTGAATTACCATTTTGCCCTTAACTTATCCCTAAAAGAAATTAAATATTAATAGCTATTTAATTAATTAATATTAAGTAGTAGTTATATTTACATTCATGCATCAAACAAGATCTTAATGCAATCATATATTCATGTACTAAATGTGGGTAATGAAGAGTCTAATAACCTTCAATTTTAATTTGTAAGAAAAGTGGGGGTAATGAAGAGTCTATCAAAGACACTCATACGACATTATTTATATTCTCTTCTTTCATCCAAATTTGTGATCATCTTGCATTCTACATTAGGTTAGTCTACATCATTTGTTAAATTTTCATTATCAATTTGTAATTGTAAGAATTCTTATTGATTCATTTATTTGTATTCTTTAAATTTTCATGCATATTCATCTTCTTTTTGTTGAGAAATATGTAAATTATCATAGTTACAAGATGAATAATATTCTCCAATATGAAGTTGTAAGTGAATTTTTATTTTTCATATCTCCAACTTTTTGAGTTTTTAAATATAACTTCATAATTGATTAATATATTTTTGTATTCTTCATTTCTTCTATCTTTAGGATATAAATATAATAAAGCTAATCCCAATTTATATTTATAATTAATTGTTTTGAGAGTAAGCATGCTAAATCCAGTAAAGTATTTTCACAACTTGACCCGTAAAAGAGTAATAAACATTTATAGTTATGTCTTCTTCGTTGTTTGATAGTCATTTATCTTTTTAAAACAACATGTTTGTACTTTTTCCTATTACAGTGAGGTATAAAATTAGTGCAAAAGTAAAAATAAAATAAAAAATAATGTAAAGTAAAAAGATGACTAAATGTTACATTGAATTTTATTGTATTAGAATTCATATTTAATTTTTTATATACAATTCCTTTAATATATAGTTCAAGAAATATAGTGTATCTATATTTTTAACATAGTCATGCTTCCATTTTTTTTTTAATGATTTTAGTTTTTTATACATATGAAACATACTGTCTATAGCATTTCGACTTCTTACAAAATGTAATTCAATCAATATGACAATATTTTTGTCTATATATTTTAATGTGATGTCTTTTATTATGGATGTCATGTCTTTACTTTTTTGTTTGAAATTCTAATTTTTTCTATAAATTTGATATTACACCACCTAGACATTTTGCAATATTTTTCTTTATACGTAATTTTTTTTATAGCCAATTTCATTTTTTATTATTAAAACTTACGTTTAGTAATTAAAATATATTAGTTCCTTTGATATAATAAAAAGTTTATTTTTTCATGAAGCATTAAAAATATCAAACCTCCAACATCTAACAAAAGATTTTCATGCTATATTTTGTGAAGAGTTTTATTCTTATGTCAAGCTTACATACAAAAGGACTTAACTTTGAACTTAGTGATGAATTTATGTACGCTCCACTGTGATATACTCCCTCCGTTTAAACAAGAATGGTCTAGTTTCCTTTTTAATCTGCTTAAAAAAGAATGACCCCTTTCCTTTTTTGGTAACACTTTAACTACAACTTTTCACGTGACATATTTAAGATCACAAGATTAAAGGGCATTTTGGTACATTTGACATAACTTTAATTTAGAACCACATGATTAAAAATTCTTTCTTTTTGAAACGGAGGGAGTTATGACTATGTTAAAAATATAGATACACTATATTTCTTATATAGACAAAAATATTGTCATATTGATTGAATTACATTTTGTTAGAAGTCGAAATGCTATAGACAATATGTTTCCTATGTATAAAAAACTAAAATCATAAAAAAGAAAAGAAAAAAGGAAGCATGACTATGTTAAAATATAGATACACTATATTTCTTAAACTACGTTCTAAGTCAAACTAGGTATTCTTTTATAAACGGGGAAATATTTACTTATATAGAAAGATGTTTTACTGATTCATATCGCGTTCATCAGAATCATGTCAGATATGGAGTTAGAATTTGGCACTTCAGATATCTGACAAGAAGCATCAGAGTTACAAGTACAAGAAATGGAACTCAAATTGAGAAAATTTTGGGGATAATTACCCACACCATTTGTCAGATATGGAGTTTAGATCTAAAAGAGGAATGAAAAGCAGAATATGAAAGAAAGAAGCGCAGATACTTACCCGTTTGCCATGGTCGCTGATACGAAGTATAGAATGGAGAAGAGCAAAGGTTTCCTAATTTCTGGACCAAATGTTCTCCAGATTTCTTTTTACTTTTATTTTCTGTTTTTTGTTAAATTAGGCAGCCAATTTGGGCCAGCCTTTTGTATCTTTTGACATAAATAAATAAATTGGCCCATGTGGCCAAGCCAATTAATTAAAAAAAGAAAAACTTATATAAATTGACTTTTCTAATGTCAATTAGGGACAAACGTGCGTTCCAAGGACTAGTCTATGTACTAGCTGTATATATTTGTGTAATAATGGTGTTAATTGCTTCCTAAAACATTAAATAAACACTAATTTCCCATACAGAAAACACAAAATGAACTCCTTAATTCATTCAACATGCAGGCTGGCTTATCCAACAAAACAGAATGTAAAAAGATCCAATTTCAAAGCTTAGGCACCAATTAGTGAACAGAATGTGCTTATAGTCATACTGCAGCAACTGCCATGACCTTGTCTACTCTACAATAATAAAGTTTAACTTACCTTGACCTCCTTCTGTTTCTATTTCTGCCCGCTCACCAAAAATTCTGAAAAGAAGTCTGTCAAAGAGCTCATTGTATCTTGTGCTATGCAAAAGCAGCCAGGTAACGATGCCAAAACACAATGAAGATCCCAATGCAAAACTTATATATTTCCCATCAACTGTTTCATCGTCAGAATGGCTTCGTGGTTGTGACGATCCATTCATTTTGGTGTCACTGCACAGTTTCTTCAGCGGAAAATCACACAGCCCTGTGCTCCCTTCAAAGGATTCTGCTGAGAATGTCTGAAGTTGGTTGCCACTTGGAATCCTACCGGAAAGTTGATTGAAAGATAGGTTCAAGAAAGAAAGGAATGCGAGACTCGCGAGCTCGTCTGGAATTCTCCCACTTAACGGTTTACCGAAAGATCTAAGGATCCAAGCTGAGTCAACTTTCCGAGGGCCTTTGGTATCCTTCCTGTCAAAGCATTGTGCGACAAGTTAAGAAGGTAAAGCAATTTGGGATCTCCCAATACCTCTGGTATCTCTCCTTCAAAGTTGTTGCAGGAGAAATCAATGGATGTAAAAACTTTAAGAATATTCTCAATCTCCATCTCCTGACCTTTGAGAGTTAAAGTCACTCTATTTCGATAGTAGAGGCCATAGTTGATGAATTCAACTTCCAAGTAGTGTAGTCGTGGCTCTGGATTTCTGCTCTTCATCATGCCTTCCAAGCTCGAGAAGTAATGTGGTAGCAGTGCTCCCCTGAAATTGTTGGAAGCAATATCTACAATTTGAAGCTTCGGCCATGTTTGATTAGCTATACGACACTGGAGATCTCCATAAAACTTGTTTGACCTTAGGACTAGGACGTGCAAACTGGGTAATGTTTTCAACATACATGGGAATGTATCTCTAATCTTGTTGTTTCCAATGTCCAAAACCTCCAGTAATGCACATCTTTGCAGGGATCTTGGAACTTTTCCTTCTAAGTTATTATTGCTGAGGTCTAAAGTTTTCAAACTGCAGTTTGACAAAAACGTGCCACTTAGTCTGTTTCTCCCTAGATTCAGCACTGAGAGATAGTCAAACATTTGAAATAGAGATGGAGGTAGTTTGCTGTTTATGGAATTGTTTGACACATAAAAAAATTGAAGCTGATAAAGATTGCATATGGAGGAGGGTATTGATCCTGTAAGTTTATTATTGGCAATTGAAAGGTAGATAAGAGAAGTAGGTACAATGGGTATATTGCCTTTGATCCCGTTGTTATGCAAGTCAATGACACTCCATAATTCTGAAGATGTGTCGTAAGGTTCTTCCAGAGCCTCGAGGAAATTGCAAGAAAGATTCAGATAACTTAAACTATTACTCCAAATCCAGCTGGGTACTTGTCCTGTGTTACAACGAAAAGGAAGAACTTCAGGTCTACAAGGTGTAAACAGTAGGAAATAGCAGCTGTAAATTGCTACAGAAAATTTGAAAGTGAAGAAGAAGGCTTAAGTTTTCTTGAGCTCAATTTTTTTCACTAGATGTTTCATTACATATGATGTATTTATAGATAAAGTGTTAGAATTACAACCATATAATAAGCAAAATATCTCACACCAAACTATGTACCTATGTGGCTCACTAACCACCACTCATTTTAAATCAAGACTAACATATCTACTACAAAATATCTCCAACCTAGGAGTTTCTAGACAATTCTTACTTTTCTAACATATCTAATTCAAAATATCTCCAATCTAGGAGTTTCTAGACAAATCTTAATTTTCTAACACTCCTCCTTAAGATTTTTCATTGAAACTCCTTACAACAACCTTTGAAACTCAAACTTCTTAGTGGAAAGAGCCTTGGTCAGAATATCGGCCTGCTGATCTTCACTGATGCAATGCACCAACTTAACTTCACCATTCTTCTCGACATCTCTTAAAGCATGAAACCTTATGTTGATATGCTTTGTTCTTGCTGGCCCGGATTTTCAGCCATCGCAATGGCTGATTTATTGTCCACATAGATCACTGTTGGTTCTTTTGGCAACAAATTCAATTCCAACAAGATCTTTCTTAACCAAATTGCTTGATTTGTAGCAGATGCAACAACCACATACTCGGCTTCTGTTGAAGATTGTGCTACAATATCTTGCTTCTTTGTGCTCCAAGAAAAAATGCCTGAACCAAACGAAAAATAGAAACCAGAAGTGCTTTTGCAATCATCCAAACATCCACCCCAATCACTATCTGAATAGCCAATAAGAGATCCATTCTCCACATTTCTATACCAGATTCCATAATTAATCGTCCCTCTAATGTACCTTAACACCCTTTTAGAGGCTCCAAAATGCTTAGTGTTGGGACTTTGCATATATCGAGATTACAAACTGACAGCGAACATTATGTCTGGCCTAGAAGCTGTTAGATACCATGGACTTCCAATTAGACTTCTATAAACTTTTGGATCTGCCCTCTCTTCGCCATCATCCTTCATTAATTTTTCATTCACAACAAGTGGAGTTGCAACAACTTTGCACTTGTCAAGCTTGAACCTTTTTAACAGATTCAAGGCATACCTCTTTTGGGACAAGAAAATTCCTTCACAAGATTGAGATATCTCCATTCCCAGGAAAAACTTCATTTCTCCTAGATCGGACATCTCGAAAACATTTAGCATTTCATTTTTAACTTCTTGAACCGCAAGAGGATTTTCACTTGTAATCATCAAATCATCGACATAAACTGATATCATAATCAACATCTCATCCGCTTGCCTTTTGAAGTACAAAGTAGGCTCATTTAGGCTTCTGTTGAAGCCTTGAGACAAATGAGAATCCAGCCTACTATACCAAGCTCTTGGGGCTTGTTTAAGACCATAGGGAGCCCTTTTAAGCTTGTACACCTTGTCTTCTTCACCTGCAACTGTAAAACTTTCAGGTTGTTCAACATAAATGTCTTCCTCAAGCAATTCGTTGAGAAATGCAGATTTTACATCCAAATGGAAGATTTTCCACTTGTATTGTGCTGTGAGAGCGACTAGAAACCTTACTGTCTCATCCCGTGCAACAGGAGCAAACGTTTCTCCAAAGTCCACTCCAGGCTGCTGAGAATAGCCTTTAACTACAAGTCTAGCTTTATGCTTGAAGATGGAGCCATTTGGATTGAACTTTGTTCGATAGACCCATTTGACACCGATAGCATTCTTCTCTTCTGGCCTATCAACCAACTCCCAAGTATCATTTTTATTAATCATGGCAAGTTCCTCCTCCATTGCTGAAATCCACACTTTGTGGTTTGCTGCTTCTTCAAATGAGGATTGTTCAACAAGAGCAAAATTGCATTGCTCATAAAATTCTGCTAGTGATTTGGTCTTCAAAACAGGAGAGTCTGTAGTCAATTCAACATCTGAATTGTTTTTTGTTCCAGCAATAGGACTAGAGGGAGTATCACCTTTTTACTGATTTGGAGTTGCAGCTCAAGTACTCACACCTTGGTTCTTCACAACAGTATCTCAATCCCAATCATAGTGGCTAGACTCATCCACTACAAGATCTCTACTAATAAACACCTTCCTACTACTAACATTGTACACTTTGTATCCTTTTGCAACTGTACTATAGCCCAACAGAATATACAGTTCTGCCTTGCTATCTAATTTGCCTCTTTTAGCATCAGGAACATGTGCATAGCATACCGAACCAAAAACCTTCAAGTGTCTTGTAGACGGCTTGATACCCTTCCATGCTTCAAATGGTGTTATGTCTTGGACTGCTCTAGTTGGTAATCTATTTAGCAAATAGACAGCGGTGTTGACTGTTTCAGCCCAAAAGTATTTAGGCATCTTCTTTTCTGCCAACATGCATCTCGCCATCTCCATCACAGTTCTATTCTTCCTCTCAGAAACCCCGTTCTGCTATGGAGTGTAGCTAACAGTGAATTGTTGTTGGATGCCTAAATCTTTACAATACTTGTTGAACTGATATGAAGTATATTCAGTTCCATTATCGGATCTAATATACTTCAATTTACAACTACTCTCCTTTTCTACCATAACTTTGAATTCTTTGAAAACATAAAACACTTGATATTTGCTACTAAGAAAGTAGATCCATGTCATTCGAGTCAGATCATCTACAAAGAGAACAAAGTACTTGTTTCCACTCAAAGAAGCCATCCTCATTGGTCCATATAAATCTGTATGAACCAACTCTAGCTTTTCCTTAGCTCTCCAAAGACTTCCTTTAGGAAACGATCGTCTATGCATTTTACCAAATTGACATGACTCACAAACATCTCTACACATGTCAATTTTGGGTACTTTAAGCACCATACCCTTTGATTGCATATACACCAGTGAGCTAAGATTATAATGACCGAACCTTTTGTGCCAAAGCCAAATATCGCTCAATATCAACATTAAAAGAGCAAGTATCAATAGAATAACATGAAATTGGAAAGGAATTGTCAATCATGCTAATTTTAGCTACTTCACATCCTTTAAGGATCATAAATGACACATTGTTTGTCCTTAAAATTAAGAGAATAATTTTTATGAAGCAATTGAGCAACACTTAACAAGTTTTGAGTCAAATTTGGCATATAAAGAACACCATTAATAATTTTTGTACCTTCGTCAGTAAGAAATTTTACTGACCCTCTACGGTGAGCTTCCACCAATGCGCCATTTCCAAGCTTCACTTTGGTTCTATCAGATCTGTCCAAGGTAACAAACAGATTTTCATCAATCTACATGTGTCTTGTGCACGTGCTATCAACATACCATTTACATTGGTCAATATGTGATGTGTGTGAGGCCATGAAAACCTCCTCCTCTGATTTTCCAACTTGGTATCATCTGCGAAATTCACTAGATGGGAAGAACTGGCCACTTTTATTTTGCTTTTGCCTACAATACTTCTCAATGTGACCATACTTCTTACAATATCTACATTGAATTGGAGACCTCTTTGAATTCTGCCAATAATTCTTCTGTAAGTGGTTTGTCTTCTTACAAATGCCACAAGGTGGAAATTTTCCTTTTATCGACAAATCACCTTGGTTTCCACCAGATTTTACCTCTCCAGATTTATCCAACCAGACTTTTCTGCTTTCCTTTTGATGTTTGAATTTATGCCTTGCTTGAAAGGCATCTTCTACTATCCCTTTACTTCTCATAGTAACCTGTTGCTCTTGGACTTGCAATTTGGAGATTAGTTCGGCTATTGTAAGAGTAGTCAAGTCACAAGACTCTTCAATAGCTGAGATTTTTTATTCAAACTTGTCTGGAAGGCTGACCAAGATCTTCTCTACAACTTTCTGATCTGGAAAGGTTTCACCAAGTATTCTTATCTGGTTCACAATCTCCATCAGCTTTGAAGAGTATTCTTTCACACTATCTGAGTCTTTCATCTTCAAAAGCTCAAACTTTCTCTTCAATGCTAAGAGTCTAACAGAGTAAAACTCTACTGTTGCCTTCAAACTCCTCCTTTAACTTATCCCAAGCCTCTTTTGCTGTTTCACAAGTCATAATCCTCATAAACATCACGTCCGTAAGACTTGAATGTATGCAGGTGTGAGCTCGTGGGGATCTATTCACCAACTCATCATACTTCTTAATTTCATTGAGAGTTGCATTAACTCTCAATGGCTGGACAGTAGGTTCTCCAAGCTCAACAACTTCCCATAAGTTGAGAGCCTTTAGATAAGCCTTCATTTTGATGGCCCATATGTGATAATTCTCTCCGGTAAAAGTCATAGGACTTGTCGTTGGTTGGTTTTCAGGTGCCATGAATTTTTTTCAGCAAGCAAATTCAAGAAAGAATAGAAAGTAGATGAGCGAAACAAACAAAATTTGATTCAGATCCCTTAGGAAATAGGCTCTGATACCATGTTACAACGAAAAGGAAGAAGAACTTCAGGTCTACAAGGTGTAAACAGAGTAGGAAATAGCAGCTGTAAATTGCTACAGAAAATCTGAAAGTGAAGAAGAAGGCTTAAGTTTTCTTGAGTTCAATTTTTTTCACTAGATGTTTCATTACATATGGTGTATTTATAGATAAAGTGTGAGAATTACAACCACATAATAAGCAAAATATCTCACACCAAACTATGTACCTATGTGGCTCACTAACCACCACTCATTTTAAATCAAGACTAACATATCTACTACAAAATATCTCCAACCTTGGAGTTTCTAGACAATTCTTACTTTTCTAACATATTTAATACAAAATATCTCCAATCTAGGAGTTTCTAGACAAATCTTAATTTTCTAACATCCTGAAATATTGTTGTATGAAAGGTCTAATGCAATCATGAGTGACTGGTTTTTGAGATCCGGGAACTTTTGCAACTGGCATGATGCCAAGTTCAGTTCACTCATTTGGGGAAAGGGAAATGAGGTTGAATTACTACCTTGTACATCAATTCTCAAATTGTTGTAAGAAAGGTCAAGCTTTTTTAGCCTAGGAAGTCCCTTTATCGCTTCAATATTAATGGTCCCACTGAAGGAGTTGGAAGAAAGTGAGAGTTTTGAAAGCCTATTGAGTTTAAAGATAGACCTGGGGATCGATCCATTTAGATAGTTATTGCTCAAGTCAAGTTTATACAAAAAAGAGGAGGACGCGTTAGCAAATTCATGGACTTCTCCACTGAAGTGATTATTCTGAAGTTCAATCACCCGCAATGATAGAATGGAAAACACAACTGTCGGAAGGGTCCCACCGATAGAATTGTCTTCCAAGTATAGATATTCAAGCTCTGAAAGACCTCCACAATGAGTAGAAGAAAGTGGACCTGTTAGATTGTTATGAGAAAGGTCAATGTAATTGAGCTTCTTTGCCTTATGAAATAGTGGGATTGAGCCAGTAAAGCTATTGGATGAAAAGTCTAAATAAACTAAATCTCTTAGATTTCCCATTTTTGATGAGATAGGTCCAGAGAAATTGCATGAACTTAAGTCAATCTCGGTTAAGGTTGTGAGGTTAGCAATTGTATCCGGAAGTAAACCTGTGAAGTTTGTGCTGCCAAGCCCTAACTCCCTTATGAACCATTCTGTGAAAAGTCAGGTAAAGTGCCAGTGAGTTTTTCATTGCCATATAAATGAAGCTCCTGTAGAGTTGGTACCTGAAAGATCTTATTCGGAAATTCACCTTCTCAAGTTGCAGTTACTGAGACTGAGGGTTGTCAATTTTGTAAAATTTGCTAGAAATTCAGGAACTATAGTGGACAAGTTGTTGTCATCCAGACGAATGACTGAAAGGAAATGAAGATTTAAGAGGACGGGATCAAAAGGGCTTGAAATGCCACAATTTGTCATGATTTAACACTCTTAACTGAGGCAGAGATGAAGATAAAGTTGAGCACCACTCAATCCCCGGCCTTCAATGATATGTTCACTTCATCAAGATGAAGTTCTCTAAGATTTGGCAGGTTTCCAACCAGTGTCTTCAGATCTCCGCTCTCAAGCTTTAATGCGACATTATAAACGTCAAGAAACGTTAACTTCGTCAATCTTGACAATTCCATTGGAATCTGCCCACCAAAACCGGCATATGACAAATTCAGGTATGCTAAGTTTGTGAGCTTATAAACTTCTGTTGGTATTTGAACAGAGTTTAAATAGTTATAAGCCAAATTCAGTTTCTCAAGATACTGAAGATCGAATAGACTGGTTGGATTCTCAAGTCCGCTGAAAATTGCTTCGTTGTCCAGTTCCAAAACAAGCACATGACCTTTCTGATCACAACTTACAGCTGGCCACTGGCAGCAGTCAGTGTTTTGATCCCATCTTACCAGTTTGGTTGACAAAGATGAGTCGAATGTAAGGCCATTCTTGAGCTTAAGCAACAACGCCTTTTGATCACCTAAACAATGACCATACACTGGAGGATTAATCAAAAAAAGCTCCACCAGCATGGTGATGAAAGAAAGCTGTAGCATGAGTGATATTTTCATTGTGAGGCAAGGTTTTAAAATGCAGTAATGATATTGAATGATATGTTGCATGTATACAAATCATATTGGCCGGCACACGCAAAAAAATATTAAGCAAAGACAAGGAATGAGCAACTAAAGTTACTCCAATTTTGAGTTTTGAAAAAGTCAAGACAGCATCACCATTTTGTCTAATCATGAGGTCCTACTTCAGATGTTTTAATATACAAACAAAGTTGATGTTTCTGTCTTTTAGTTTATGCATAGGATGGTGAGGAAGGCTACTCTTTTGTATCTTATCTAGTCTTTAGTTTCAAAATAGACAAATTTCAATTTGGTTTTCTGTTGACTTGGGTTGTGCATATGCAAGTCAACCTAAAATGTTAATCACACAAGGGTAAATCTGAAAACTTCCCAGAATTTACCTTGTCTGAATACAACAATCAGAAGTTTTTCCAATTTTATCTTATGCTCATATTTAACCAACACTTTCTTAAACCTGCATACTTGATCTGTAGATGATACAAAATGAAGTGTCTACTGAACCTAATAATTGCGTATATATTCTCTCTCGTGGGCATCCATTAATGCACACAAGTCATACAATCCAATTGGCATATCCAGCAGTCTTTATTTAGCAAGGAATTATGAAATTCATCATTTACCTATCTTCGATAGTCTAATCAACATTGAAATGGATCTCCTGGCTAACATTAGGTAAAATCATTCATACATAACTCAAAAAGATTAACTCGAAAAAGCTACTCATAAAAGTGCCAAGTTAAACTAAATATTGCTTTTGTATGCAGATGTGCAGCTCTATATGTAGCTTGTGATTTAGAACCAAAACTAACTGAAACAACTTAGACAAGAAAACTTAAGTACAAGTAATCATGTGCAATCTAGTAGGCTAAGCATTAACCATGATCGCTACTTCTCTATTCGGCTTAATACACTACCAACCCCTAAAACTTGTCAAGATATTTCATTTAGACACTCGAATTGAGCCCTATTTCAATTGAACATATCAACTCCTAATAATCACTTTAAGAGGGAGTGTGAAGAATTAAAGTTGGGTCTTTGGAGTTGCAAAAAATCCTCAATAATTAGTAGAGCTTCTGAAATTTTGTAGAATACTATCTTTGATATTTGTTATACTTAAATAAATGTGTAGATATTGCAGAGCTTGCCAGATCATCATAAAAATTATTTCCTATATTCAAATTCAAACACCATATATTGACCAGAGTATTATGAACTCCTTCAGACAGAATGTAAAAGATCAAACATCAAAGCTATACTATAGCCTTATTTTTCTTGACCTCCTTTGGTTTTTATTCTTTCTCCTCCTTTTGTGCTGACCCCAAATTCTTAAAAGAAGTCCATCAACGAGCTCATTGTATCTTTGGCTATGCAAAAGAAGCCAGGTTACGATACCAAAAGCCATAGAAGATCCCAAGGAAAAACTTATATATTTCCCATCAATTTCATGTTCAGAATGGCTGTTAGGTTGTGACGATCCGTCCACTTTGGTTTCACTGCACGTTGTATTTAAAGGAAAGTCGCACAACCCAATGTTCCCTTCAAAGGAATCTGCTGAGAATGTCTGAAATTGGTTGCCACTTGGAATCCTACCAGAAAGTTGATTAAAAGATAGGTTCAAGAAAGCAAGAAATGTCAGACTCACGAGCTCATCTGGAATTCTCCCGCTTAAATGGTTAAATGAGAAATCTAAGGATTCAAGCTGAGTCAACTTTCCAAGAGCCTTTGGTATTCTTCCAGTCAAAGCTTTGTGTGAGAAGTTAAGATGGATAAGTGATTTGAGATCTCCCAATGTCTCAGGTATCTCCCCTTGAAAGTTGTTGCAAGAGAAATCAATGGATGTTAAAACTACAAGAATTTTCACATATTCCACTATTAAACCTTTAATAGTTAAAGTCACCTTGTCTTGATACAGACTATCAACATGCAAATAATGCTCCCCCAGGTCTGGATTTCTGCTTTGCATCATGCCTTTCAAGTTCGAGAAGTATTGTGGTAGCATAGCACCGCTGAAATTATTGTAAGCAAGATCCACAATTTGAATACTTGACCAGGTTTGATTCGCGATAGGACACTGGAGATTCCCATGGAACTTGTTCGACCTCAATACTAGTACATGCAAATTGGAAAAATAATTTAACATGCATGGGAATGTATCTTCAATCTTGTTGTTTCCAATGTTTAAAACCTCCAAAGGTTCACATCTTAGCAGGGATCTTGGAACTTTTCCTTCCAAGATATTGCTGCTGAGGTCTAAAGTTCTCAAACTACAATTTAGTGGAAATGTGTCTGGAATAGTGCCACTTAGTTTGTTTCTCCCAAGATTCAGTACTACAAAACGGTCAGCCTTTTGGAATAGACATGAAGGTATTTTATTGTTAAAGGTGTTGTTTGACATATCAAGAAATTTAAGATGATCTAGATTGCATATGAAAGAGGGTATTGATCCCGTAAATTCATTATTGGCAAGTGATAAGAAAGTAACACTACCTCCCCGACTTGTACGGTAAAATGTATCATCACTGTCAGGTGGTAGAAAGGGTGGATTGCCCTTGATCCTGTTGCTACTCAAATCAATGGAAAGAGGACTCCTAGACATATAGTAAGGTTTTTCTAGAGACTCCAGGAGATTGTGAGAAAGATTCAGATCGCTAACTTTCCAAACCCAATTTGGTATTCCCCCTTTAAGTTTGTTGTCCGAAAGGTCTAATTCAAATAAGAATGATTGGTTTTTGAGATCAGGAAACTTTTGCAACTGGCATGAAGCCAACCTCAGGCGGTGCATCTTAGCTGGAAAGGGAAATGAGGTTGAATTACTTACAATTCTCAAGTTGTTGTAAGACAGGTCGAGGGTGTTTAGCCTAGGAAGTCCGCTAATCGCTTCAAGATTAATGGTCCCATTGAACGAGTTGGAAGAAAGTACTAGTTCTGAAAGACTTTTGAGTTGAAAGATAGACCGCGGAATGGATCCATTCAGATGATTATTACTCAAATCAAGTGTATCAAGAACAGAAGAGGATGCATTTGAAAATTCATGGATTACTCCACTTAAACGACTGCTCTGAACACTAAGAAACTGCAAGGACGGGATGGAAAGGAGAACTGCTAATTGAGTTTGAGTGGAAGAAAATGGACCATTGTTATTAGAAAGGTCAATGTAATTGAGCTTCTTTGCCTTGTGAAAAAATGGGATCGAGCCAGTAAAACTGTTGAATGACAAGTCTAGATGAACCAGGTCTGTGAGATTTCCCATTTTTGATGGAATATCTCCACTGAAATTGCAACCTGCTAAATCAAGCCGGGTCAAATTCCGAAGGTTAGCAATTGAATCTGAAAGGGAACCGGTGAATCCCGTGTAACTAAGCACTACTTCCCTTAATGCACTCTTATGTGAAAATTCAGGTAAAGTGCCAGTAAGGTTTTCATTGTATGATAAATCAAGCTCCTGAAGAGTTTGTACCTGAAAGATTTTACTAGGAAATGGACCAAGCAAATTGCAGCTCCGGAGTCTTAAGGTAGTCAATTTTGTAAAATTTGCTATATATTCTGGAACTCCACTAGTGATTAATTCGTCGTCCAGATCCAGAACAAGCACATGACCTTCTTGATCACAACTTACACCTGGCCACAGGCAACAGTCGGTGTTTAGATCCCATCTAACCAGTTTGGTTGATTTAGAAGAATCGAGAGTAAGGCTTTTCTTGAGTTTAAGCAACAACACCTTTTCATCGCCCAAACATTGGCCATACACTGGAGAAATATTAGAACTAATCAGAAACACCACTAGCACAGTAATGTAAGAAAGTTGTAGCAGGAGTGATATTTCATAGTGAGGCAATATTATGAAGTGAAGTATTGAAATGATGATGAATTCTATATATATATACAAAATAATCTTGGCCGGCACTCACAAAGACAAGAATTTTTTTGGAAACGTCAAGACAGCTTCATTGTTTTGTCTAATGAGGTCTTACATCAGATGTTTTAAAATCTAAACATAGTTGATGTTTCTGTCTTTTCTTTTACATATGAAACGACTAGACTAATTCCAATTTGGTATAATTTCGCTTTGTAGTTTTATGTTGACTTGGGTTGTGCATATGCAAGTCAACCTAATATCAGTAACATAAGCTATAAATTTACACAACTTAAGCTTGTAATTGACAATGACATTCAATTTTTACAAGAGCATAAGTTGATGCCTTGCAATGCTTTGTTGTTTCTCAAATACAATAAGATGGAAACTTTGACATTTTGATTTTAGGCGCGCCTAGATATATAAGTAGAGTATGATTATTAAGTGACTCTAACGATAAGAGTAAGATAGGTGCAGGGGTTACAACCAAAAGAACAAATATTTAAATGTGTTTAACCCTGCCAACACTTCCTTAGACCTATATGTTTATTGTTTCATCAGGACTCAGTCTAAAGAACAAAACTTAATCTATGATGGTTGTCTGAAGGTGACAAATATTAATGGCTTCAATAGTCAGAATTGCATAAATTTCATCTCGCGATTAGCATCAGGTAAAATATTGTCTTAACACAAAGACTAACTAAAAAATCACCGAAACGAATAGAGATCACTAATATATAGTCATCTTAAGAATTTGCAGAAAATAAGACCAATCTTTGTTAGCATGATGGACAGATTAGAATAGCTTTACATTATCTATGTAATAACTATATATATTTGTGTAATTATGGTATTAATTGCCTCCCAGACATTGGAGTTATCCAGGGATTAATATAACAATATTTTTCAGAAACATTACAGCTAGGAGTACGTAGCATACCTTTTGTAGTGTAAATAGCAGATTTTTAGGCATGTAACTCCGATAAAATTAAACAGGCAACCCACCAATATATCTAATCAAGGATCTCCAAGACAATGAACTTGTTCAACTGACCATGTTCTGGCTTATAGGCAAGCATTAGAACTTATTGCCTGATTGGCAGCATAAATTCTTCCCAACGAATTTTTCAAGATAAGGTCGTCTACTAAAGATTTTATTAAGCGGGAACAAAGCTTAAGATCGGAAACTTTGGGGACACTAGGCATAATTTCCTCCATAATTCTCTGGTTATTATATTTTTGGTCTAAGATCTGTTGGGGTATATTAGTGTGAAAATTTGTTGTTATCCCTGCGATTTGTTTTGATGTTTTGAGTATTGATAGTTGGAAAAATGATTGTAAACAATAGAGGAGGAAATAAGGACTCTCGCAGTAATGTTTGTAAATAAGTAAAAGAGCCAAATAATTGAAAAATGATAAACAGATCATCATGAAAATTATTCCTTACATTAAAATTCAAACACCACTCTTCACCATACAGAAAACAAAGGAAAAACAAAGTGAACAATAGTATTATGAACTCCTTCAAACAGAACGTAAAAGATCAAACATCAAAGCTATACTTGACCACCTTCAAAGATTTTATTCATGCGCCTTTTTTTGTGTCGATCCAACATTCTGAAAAGAAGTCTATCAAGGAGCTCATTGTATCTTTGACTATGCAAAAGCAGCCAGATTATGATGCCAAAGCCAACAGAAGATCCCAAGGCAAAACTTATATTTTCCCTTCAATTTCATGTTCAGAATGGCTGCTAAGTAACTGTGATGATCCATTCACTTTGGTTTCACTGCACGTTTTCTTTAAAGGTAAATCGCACAACCCTGTGTTCCCTTCAAAGGAATTCGCTGAGAACGTCTGAAGTTGGTTACCACTTGGAATCCTACCAGATAGTTGATTAAAAGATAGGTTCAAGAAAGCAAGAAATGTGAGACTCACGAGCTCGTCTGGAATCCTCCCATGTAAATGGTTAACTGAGAAATCTAAGGATTCAAGCTGAGTCAAATTTCCAAGGGCATTTGGTATTCTTCCAGTCAAAGCATTGTGCGAGAAGTTAAGATGGATTAGTGATTTGAGATCTCCCAATGTCTCAGGTATCTCCCCTTGAAAGTTGTTGCAAGAGAAATCAATGGAAGTTAAAACTACAAGAATTTTCACATATTCCACTGTTAGACCTTTGATAGTTAAAGTCACCTTGTCTTGATACAGATTATCAGCACTTAAGTACTGCTCCCATGGGTATGGATTGTTGCCCTGCATCATGCCTTCCCAGCTCGAGAAGTAATGCGGTAGCAAAGCATCGCTGAAATTATTGTAAGCAAGATCCACAATTTGAAGCCTTGACCAGGTTTGATTAGCAGCAGAACACTGGAGATTCCTGTAGAACTTGTTCGACCTTATGACTAGGACATGAAAACTGTATAATTTCTTCAACATGCACGGGAATGTATCTTTGATCTTGTTGATTCCAATGTTTAAAACTTGCAAAGGTTCACATCTTTGCAAGGAGCTTGGAACTTTCCCTTCTAACATATTGTTGCTGAGATCTAAAGTTTCCAAGCTACAATTCAGCGGAAATTTATCAGGAACAGTACCACTTAGATTGTTTCTCGCTATATTCAACACTACGAGACTTGTAGCCAGCATTTGGATTAGACAGGGAGGTATTTTTCCGCTTGTGGAGTTATTTGACATATCAAGGAATTGAAGCTGATCTAGACTGCATATGGAAGAAGATATTGATCCCGTAAATTCATTATTGGCAATTGAAAAGTAAGTAATACTACTTTTCCAGTTTGCAAAGCGATCTGGTAGAAACGGTGGATTGCCCTTGATCCTGTTGAAACTCAATTCAATGACAATAGAAGTAGTAGATATATAATAAGGTTTTTCCAGTGACTCAAAGAGATTGTGAGAAAGATTCAGTTTTGCAACTGTCCAAACCCAATTTGGTATTTCCCCTTCAATTTTGTTGTCTGAAAGGTCAAGGGTGGTTAGCCTAGGAAGTCCATTTACCGCTTTGATATTAATGGTCCCACTGAAGGAGTTGGAAGAAAGTGAGAGTTGTGAAAGCCTATTGAGTTTAAAGATAGACCGGGGGATCGATCCTTTTAGATGGTTATTGCTCAAATAAAGTATTTCCAGAACAGAGGAGGATGCATTTGGAAATTCATGGATTTCTCCACTTAAATGACTATTATAAAGATAAAGGTACTGCAATGACGGGAGGGAAAGGAGAACGGCTAATTGAGTTTGAGCAGAAGAAAGTTGACCATTGTTTCTACTATATAGAAAAGCGAAGCCGACCAAGATGACCAGGGGCATATTAGAAAATCTGACTTCAAGGAAGGGCAAAATAGTAATTAAGTTATCAAGATAGTTACAACCGACCTGAGTAATGAAATTTCTAGAAAGCAGGGACTCTTTATATTCCATGGCGCCTTTCCATGGTAGAGAGTTCCAGAGAAAATCATCGACTCAAAAAGACTCCTCTCATATGATGTTGGATTACAGGTCAGTTATCTCAATCTTTGCTCTAAGCATTTTCTGTTCTCAATCTCAAGGCTTTCAAAGACTGTTCTTTCATATCTCTTCCTTTTCACTGTTGGGTGTTCCAATTTGAGGGTTTTTTTTTTGCTTAGATTCCTTTTCAGTTCTATTTTACAACTGAACTTGATAGATGATATTGTTATTGTACTGTCTGCCCACTCCCCAATTTCATGGTTGATGATCAATTACACTCCCATCACTTTTCCACTCCAAGTGGCTTTGTCTTGCTTCTCTTCATCATTTCGATTAATTTACAAATGCAGGTATGTTTCTCTTTAGTTTTTACCTAAATTTTCTGTTTCTTTTCCCTTTGTTGTTCTTTTTTTGTTTTTTAAGTTCTCTTCAAATTTAATTATTATCACATATAGGAATATTTCTACTAAAATGATGGTTCATAGATAGGTTGTTAGAAATCAGATTGATTGGAAAAATTAAATATATGAAAGTTAGAAGTCTTAATTGGGGTATGTAGAATTTTGGAGAGATAAACTAAAGATGTCTTTGATCAGCACATTGTAGCATGTTCTATGATGATAAAAAAAAATTTCTTCATTAATTATTCAGCTTATGGTGAAGTAGAACATCCTCCTACAGTTCCATCAGTCATTTCAAACAGTAATCATCCAAGGTCTGAAAGATATGATTCTCGACACCATTCTTCATGCTCTAGAGCAATACTTATTGCTAGATTTGGTGATAGTGTTGTTCCCATTAACATTGTAAATGGTGAGAGCGATTCTCAAGCTTTTATGAGTCGGTTCCAGTCAGAGATAGCTACTTCTCTGATTGCAGCTCCGACTGTCAAATTGCCTTGTACTGTGAAACTCGGAGTATGGCATTATGATGTTAATGATCCATGTGCGCCGCTTGATGCTGAAAAATGTCGTTGTGCTTTGTAGGTGAGATAATTTCTATTGTTTCAAAGCTTTGAAGTCTTGATATGCCTTGAAGGGCAACAACTATTTAACTGTCTTTCATGAATTCTGCCTAACATGGAGGCTGCTTCTAAATTTCATGGACAATTTTGTCATGATGGTGCAACTTCAATAGTTATGACCACTGGCTAGCCATTTGTGTCTAAAAGAGTTGTAAGGAGGACCCTGTGTTGTGCCGCGATATCAAGCTTGCTGGGAGGGCAGCCTGATCGACAATTTGACATGTCTCAATAGGTTTTCTTGTATCCAACATTTGCTTGATTATAGAAACTCTAAGTTATGCTTATTGGTAGAAGAAGTGGGAGTATCTATTAATAATAAAAGAAAAAGAGCCTTCATCAATTGACACAGTGAAATAACATTCGTATATATAAGCAATTTATATGGAGAACCATTGGTTGTGAAATAACTATTGGTGGTTGGGACGGTATTGATAAATGACCTCAGATAAAATGCATCTGACACCAACTAAACTGTTATACTCTCAGATAACTTGCGCCTGGCACCAACTAAGCTATTATATGACAAATTCTTCATTGTGTCTCTATCTATGCAGTCGCGATCTGATTTTGGGAACAGTGGACTAGGCCATACTATGTAGGGCATTTCTATGATGGGTATAGGTATGCATTCCCACCACCATACGATTCAGGGATGTATACTTCCGCCTATGGGGTTTATCCAGTGTATGGAACTCACCAGCAACAAGTAAGCTGAAAGTCTGCTACCGAGTTTCTCTGCTTAAATGGTGAATGTGCTTACTTCATTTGTTTCAAACTGGGAACGTAGAATTTAATAAAATCCGTCCAAATGAGGAGTGGAATTGAATTTTGACTGAATGAGTTAGTCTCCAAGGGATTCTATTAAACATATACTTAGAAATTTGGACTTTTAGACATAAAACTTCTTGGGGTTATGTATGAGCTACATATATATTCTTTGGAGGAGGCAAGGTAAATACTAAATCTAATGGCTTCGTTTTCTTTTCCTCTCTTCACACTTGCTATTCATTTTTTCATTTATTCATCGTTACTACATATTTGTTTGGTGGTCACTTGGGAACTCTATTACCTTGTAACAGTTTTCATTTATGCTTGTATCTCGAGCAATTAGAGTTGTTCATTGTTTGACTTCATTTCAGGTAAGTACTTTCTCAGGCTCTGCATCAATTGGTTTGTAATCCTAAACTATGTTTTTGGTAGGATTTTGTGATCTCCTGGAGAATGGACTCTAGATAATTTTCTTCTTGTAATATTTCCGTCTTAATCCTTTGAGGAAGTAAAAGCAGAAAATGAATTGGTAGATGAGAAAAAAAAATGAAGGGGAAGCTAACGTTTTTATTTTTTTAAGAAAAACATTTAAATTGAAGGGGATGCTCTCTCTTTATTTTGTTTCGAAATGAAGTATAAAGTTGGTTGAGCATTTGTTCGATAAGAAATTGTGGCATGGGCATAGATGTTGATCCTTTCTTTGGAGAGTAGGGTCTCTTTTTATATTAAAAGTTCCTGTGGGTTGGTGGTGTACCATATCATGTCTTATTTTCTACTTCGTCATATTTGATTTTGCTTACCATGTTTAATTATAAAGGTAGTTCTATTTGTGCATTGTTATTTGTATTAAGCGAATCTCACTTTTTGCTGGATAAAGAAACGAGACTTCAAATGATTTCTCCAGTTAAGAGATGTTCAAAATAACGTTTTATGAAATAGAACTGTAAGTTGCAGTAATGATTGCTCTTATGGAGCTAGACCTAACATTTTGAGAAAAAATATTTTTTCAGTTCTTCTCCTTCAACTTTCAAGAACACTTAGGAACGACCTCTTTCAATGCCATTGCTGTCAGCGGCAACAAAAATATGAAATTTAATTGATACGTGGTTACGCAAGGCTGCAATGCCTCCAACTCCACCATTTGGACTCAGAAGGACGATTCAATATTGCAGCCCTTCCAACATCGATTCACTGCACAAGATAAGAAGTGTAATCTATTGGTTATTGTATGTTACATGCTATTTTTAGCATCGTAATTTTACAGCTAATATACTCTGACAATTAAGATATTTTATCCACCTTTAAACATATAGAAACATCTAGGCAACTATGGTCTATCGTGTTCCTTTCTCTTCAACATCTTTCTTGCCCGAGTAGTTTCTCCATGACGACACTTCAGATTTAACTCATTTTCTCTGCTGTTCCCTATTTCTACTTTTCGTGCAAAAAATAATAATAATTGATCTCTTCTGAACTCCTTTGCTCTTATCAGTTAAGTTTCCGTTGTTACCTAATTTTAGATTTTAATATTCATTTGATCCACTGCTTATTGATGTTTTTTCTTTCAGGATAATTACTATGGGCTATATAGAATAATGCCCAGTTATCAATAATGTGTCTATTCTGGTCATGTTGGCATTTTTTTTACGTTCATTGTTAGTTTACTGCTTGTATAATTTCTTAAATGTAATCTTCTATCCTAGCAGACTCCGCTTAACTTCACTTGGTTCATGCCACAACGATCTATTTGGAAGGACAGTTTTAATGCACTCTTGACTATGAAGAAGACAGAATCTTAGTCAAGAACTTAGTTGAAATTTGTCATTATTATGTTTAAGGGGCAACAATTATTAAAACTTTTGATACATTTTAGAGACTCCAATCTACATTTTTCAAATGATATTAGAAAAGATTCATCAAATCAGCAACTGATGCAACAGGGATTCTTGATAATACGGAAATAACTGTAGTCTCTCTTTGATGCTCTACAACTAGAAGCTACTTATTTTGCTTCTCCGAATTTGATTTTATTATTTAAATTAGTTGAGTTGATAATGAGGGTTAATGTATGGATTCACTCTCCATATACTTGCTACTTGAATTTGTTCCTCAACCAACATGGCCTCATCTCTTTGATATATCATAGGAAGTATATCAACTAACTACATTCAACTACGTAGTAACAAATTATGTTGTAGGGTCATTTGAATTGCAACGAAATAATGCCAGTGTATTCTGTTTTACGTGATTTTAAAGTCACTAACGGATATAACTGTGCAGATTGCAGGCCTTAGGACCCTTTGATGTGAAGACTCATACTTCCACAAATATGACACAATCTTTTGTTCCATAATGCCAGTATATTTTGTTTTACATAATTTTAAAGCCACTAACAGAGTTAATATTTGAATTGTAGTAGTAATAGTAGTATTTGTAGCTATATCACAATAAATAAATCAACAGAACTCCGCGCTAAATATCACAATAAATAAATCAACAGAACTCCGCGCTAAATTACAAAAGTTGCTTCTAAAAAATAATTATTTAAAAACCTTTAGTATGAATGAGACAAAATTGACCTCGAATAATTTGAGGTTGTACTTGATCAATTTTGATGTATATCTATTAGTAATTGATTTATAAATAGTTATATACAAATGTAATTAGTACTCCCATATGTATAATGTTCAATTACATAAATATTTCACTTTGAAAACAACATTCAATAGAAAGGCATTCACAAAATATATAGATAACACGTTTGACTACTATATTTTGTTCAAGATAATAGTATTTTTATTTACTTTATATATAATGGTGTTTATATGTGATTGTCTCATTTATATTAATCAATTTTATATAACAAATAAGACTACACGTTGGGCCCGTGCTTAGCACGGGCAATACTTGTCTAGTTGTTATTAGAAATGTCAATGTAATTGGGCTTGTTAGCCTCATGGAACAGTGGGATTGAGCCAGTAAAGTTGTTGTTTGACAAGTCTAATGAAACTAGGTTCATTAAATTTCCCATTGTTGACGGAATAGGTCCTCTGAAATTGCAATCATATAAGTCTAGTGTAATCAAACTTCGAAGGTTAGCAATTGAAACTGGAAGCAAACCGGTGAAACTCGTCTCCCTAAGACTCAACTCCCTTAATGCATTTTTCTGTGGAAATTCAGGTAAAGTGCCGGTAAGGTTTAGTTGCCCAACAGATCAAGTTGTTGTAGAGTTGGTACCTGAAAGATTTAACTGGGAAATGGACCAAACAAATTGCACCATCGAACACTTAAAGTTGTCAATTTCGTAAAATCTGCCAAAAATTCTGGAACCATAGTGGACAAGTTATTCATATCGAGATGAATAACAGAAAGGAAAGGAAGATTTACCAGGACAGGATCAATTGGACCTGAAATTTCACAGTATCTCATTGACAAGACTCTCAATTGAGGTAGAGATGAAGATAACGCCAAGCACCACTCACTCCCCTTCAATGAAACATTCACACCATCAAGGTAAAGTTCTCTAAGATTTGCTAGACTTCCAACGAGTGTCCCCAAATCGGGGCTCTCTAGACTTAATAAAGAGTAAGGAAAACCTACAATGTCATTATAAGTAGAAATGTCAAGAACTACTAACTTCGTCAATCTTGACAATTCCACTGGAATCTGCCCTTCAAAACCAGCTTGTGACAAATTCAGGTACGTCAAGTTTGCAAGCTTATAAATATCTGTTGGTATTGGAAGAGAACGTAGGTCGTTATAAGCCAGATTGAGCTTCTCAAGATGTTGAAGATCGAAGAGGCTGCTTGAGTTGTCAACTCCGCCAGAAATGGCTTCGTTGTCCAACTCCAGAGCAAGCACGTGACCTTCTTCGTCACAACTTACACTCGACCACAAGCAGCAATCAGTGTTTCTATTCCACCTAACTATTTTCTTTGGCATGGAAGAATCAAATGTAAGTTCATGCTTCAATTTAAGCAATGAGGCCATTTGATCCCTCAAACATTGGCCGTCTACTCGAGAATTAGAACTCATTATCAGAAACACCATCAGGATAGTGATGAAAGAAATTTGTAGGAGTGATATTTTCATAGTGATTAGCAAATTTTGTGAAGTGAACAAATTAATGAATGATTAGTAGAAACGGAATGCAGCTTTAAATAGTTGCATGGCACATGGAAAGGAAGACCAATGTACTTCACATGTTGCTAGTTACAATATGGATTCCAGCGAAACCAATTTAGTCATTAGTAAAGTCGTAGTCAATGAAGGTACTTCTTTGAAGAATAAATTACGAATTGGGTAAAATTGAATACAAACCAAATCCCTTTTTTTTTTTGGAGTGTTGATTTGGATTTGGATTTGGATTTAACTTTTTTTTAAAATCTGATTTTGGATTGGACTTTGGGTTTTTTTTTGGAAAATTTAAGTATCTTAGTTGATTTGTTATCTGAACTTTCACCTTGTTCGTGAAGGTTTAATTCCTCACTCTGTAACCATTTCCCCTTTTTTCCAAACAAAAAATTTCATATCCAATATGAATTGCCCAAACACCTACAGACAAAGGTGAGAAACTTTTCTGAGTTGTAATAAATAAATTGGAAATGGTACTTGAAAAACCGTCAGCACGCGTTTGAATATTTTGTCCTTGAGTTGATCATTGAAATGAATGAATGGAAGTAGTATATGCTTTTGCGTGAACCAATTAGAAATTTAGAATTTGTAAGTATTTTTTTTTTGAGTGAATGCGTAAAAAAAATTAAATGTTTTCTATAGACGATAATGTTTTCTTGAAAAAAAAATTTCCCTTATTTTCTTGTGTTTAGTATACTAGTTTTCGAGAAACGCATGTTCTTCTCATATAATTATTATCAAACAATTCTAATTATCGATCATTTCAACAACTTTTTGATCTTCTTCATTCTTTAACCTCTGCATGAAATCTAATAGAGAAATGTAGAAATGGAGGTAGAATATTGAAGAGGAGCCAATCTTTAGCTGCTTCCAACATTACAAGACATTAGTTAAGACATAGAAACCTGAATTCACTAACAAAATGTTATATCACCACAATAATAATTTTGACAGTGTTTGCTAAGATTAGAGTCATTAGAACTTTGGACAGAATAGCCCTGTAAAAAGAGCTCAAACTATAAAAAACAAAAACATATTCTACAACTTCATTTAGCTAAGAATCATCAAAAGAATGCAAATATTTTGGGACGACATCCACATGTTCTTATAAATGAGTTTTGTGCCTGAAACAATTCCACCAAGTTGTCTTTCTTGCCTGGGGACTAACACCCAAGTAGTTTGTCATGAGACCCGTGTTAGGCTCGAAAATAAGCAGGTATAATGTGGAAGCTAGCAAAGCAAACCTCGAAAGACCACGAGTAAGAAGACAAATGAGAAACACACCAAAAGAGATAGATTTAACGTGGTTCGGCCAATCGACCTACGTCCACAAAGGAGATGAACAATCCACTATAAATATGAGAGTACAAAATATAGAGAGTGACAACCTCAACCAATTCACTCGAAATACAAGGAGGTACACAAAATTCTCCTCCATAACCGCAACTCTCAAAACCCTAGGACTACATTGTGAATGATGATTAAGTTAGAAGGTACAAACTTATATTTATAGAGTCCTAAACCTTTCCTACAAGAAAAGGACTAGTTAAAATATTAAAACATTTTTCTAAAAGGAAAATCTATTTATGGTAAGAAATCAGGGCAAATAAATGTCAACAACCCGTGATACCAAACATCATAGCCATTGAGATCTGCTTAAGATCATTTTCCATACTCCTTATGTTAGCAAGGGATTGCACACTGAATATAATAACAAGCCACGAGCAAATCTTGTATCTGATAACATGGCACCAAAGACGTCGAAGATGACGGCTATGAAGACGTAGTAATCTATAGGAAGATCTTGTGGACTAACCAACGAAGCCTTGTACAGTTTCGCCGCCATATTTGAGTAAAAAGATTCAATGGGATTTGCAAATTCAATTGTTCTTTGGGTGACTTAAATAAGGGATCTTAGAAAAGGGAAGATGAAAACAATCAAATTATTAAAGATTTTTTAGCCAAAAATTAAAATGACCCATCAATTTCCAACTTAATTGTTTGACCTTTGAAATTCTTCATCAGTTTGCTCACAAAGAAGAGATGAAGAAGTATTGTGCCTTGAGAAAAGGAAGAGTATTGAATTAAATCATAATTATGAGTATTTTTATGCAATATTATTAATGTAGATGAAGATCAATGGTCAAACAATTAAGTTGTAAATTGATGGGTCTTTTTAATTTTTGGCTTTTTTTTTTAATAATTTGATTCTTTTCATAATTATGAGTATTTTTACTTGCAATATTATTAATGTAGAGCAGATAATTGCTTTATATATATATATATATAAAGGGTAAAACGGTAATTCAACTTTTGACTTGAGTTCTTCCCACTTATAATATAATATGATAACTCAGAAAATGTTATCCTAAAATTAAAGTATTTGTAGGGATGTGAGTGGTGGGGATGGAGGCTACCGAGGTGATGGTGAAGATGAGGTGTGTTGGAGGGTGTCATGTCTAGAATTTATTTTCCTTACTTTCACTAGGAAAATATATCATTTTTCAAGACTAATGTCGAAACTTTGAATAATTTTTTTCGCAAAATATTTTCTTAAAGTGGAAGAAGGGTTATTCTTGAACCAAGAACAAAGGTTGAGGGTATTTTTAAATCAAAATCATTCAATATATACAAAGTCTCTTTGGTTACAAACATTTCCAAAAATTATAAATTTGTTCCTGGATATGTATCTTTGGTTACATGTTCAGCTTATGCAAATTCAAAACAATCGGAAGCAAGGCAAAATATAATATTCATAGTTGTGTTATAGACTAATTAAAAAAAAAACACTTCTATTTCACTTTATGTGGCATTTTTTGTTCTCAAAATTCAAATTAAGTAAACTTGTGTTATAGACTAATTAAACAGGAACAAAGTCCAACCCAGAAGACTAATCTAATAGGTGGAAATTAAAGCACATTTCAGTCTATAAACTCATTAATATCTCTCTTTTTAATCAATGAGTGACAATTGACACATTTTGACCAACATAATTAAATGTCTCTTCATCCTATTAAAAAATAATCATAATTAATAGTAGTATATTTTATACAATTTTTAAATATCTAAAATTTTGATTTTGAAAATATTAAACTAATCTATTTGAATCTAACTTTAAATATCAATTAAATTAACTCTCAAATTAAAAAAAAATTCATTCAATATCTCAAAGTTACAATTAATTCTAATATTTCAGCAAAATCCTTTTGTGAACATTACAAAAATACTTAAATATGCATTACAATGTTACACTTAATATTTAGAAAAGTTCATTATTTTCTTATGTATTCATGACACTGCTATAGACAGTAAAACCAAACTTTTTGAGGGTCTGAAATGTTGGAAACTTGAAACAAATATTTTAATGGTCTTAACCTGACTCATCCATACTTATCACCACACAAACAAGGTGACAAAGTTTGGTAGAAGAAATCAATTTAAACAAAAACTTTGTTAAATGAAAGAGAGACAACATTCCCAATATTGACAATTTTAGGAACAAACAACACTAGCTGAATACGTGATAAAAACATTGTTAAAATGAATGAGATAACATTCCCAATGTTGACAATTTTATGAACATACAACACTAGCAACATACCCTAATGTTGATAGGAACTAACAACTAAAAATGAAAGATAACATGGGAACTTGCCAACTTGAGAACAGTTACGCGGTGATCTGAAACTTGTTATCCAACATTCAGACGTTTTACTGAGGATTTGGTGGACGACTATTAGCTGCTGAGACTCTAGAACCCCATTCAAGCAACTCTTTGCTGGTGTCATCCTTGTGAACAATCACTTCGATGAAGAACAAACTATCTTTCTTTGTTTCAGTTGCAGTTTCAATTGCTTCCACAAGCTCCTCTTCGCAACGAACCTAGTACAAGAATGCATTATTTTAGTTGAATAACTCTTTTGACTCAACTAATGGTATAGGGATAGATAAATTCCTCACCTTTGTTGTCCAACATTTTCCTTGCCCGTTGTGGATTGCATCGACTAGTCCAGTGTAATTCCAGTTCTTGATCACATTGTAAGGTCCGTCGTGAATCTCAACTTCAATTGTGTAACCACCATTGTTTATCAAGAAGATGATAGTCCTCTGACCACATTTCAGCATTGTTGAAATATCCTGAGCAGTCACCTACAACAAGTATTTGCCATACAGAATGATGAGAACACGATGGAATAAATAAACACAACGAACTCATTGTGTTGAATTCAGTTTATTACCACAAATCATTGTACCTGAAAACTACCATCACCAATGAAAGCAATCACCCTCTTTTCTTTTGCTGCTTGTGCGTAACCAAGAGTTGCCCCAACAGCCCAACCAATAGATCCATACTGCATTTGGAACTCGTACCTGAAATAAAGCCAAAGGATATCAAATGTCATTATGATGAACACGGAAGCAAACGTCATTTCACATTGTTATTCGGAGCTTACCCACATCCCTTGGGCAGTTTAAGTTTCTGGCAATTGAACCATGAATCCCCTGTCTCAGCAATCACAACCGTGTCACCGGACAACATCCTCTGAATGTGCTCAAAGAGAACATTAACCCTCAATGCCTCTTTAGGCTCACACTTAAGAGGATGTCCCTCTGGAACATAAATCCTTCGATAATTCTCGTAAGCAGTCGTGTTGTGCTTTAGCCTCTTGCCCAATGCAGCAAGGAAATCCTTCATTAGAATACAACCAAATGTAGGTCCATTACCAATAGTCACACGATCTGGCTGTACATTGATGGTTTTCTCTCTTTTGAGAAGCAGAGAATACCCAACAGAGCTATAGTCATTAAAAATAGGTCCAGCAAACAAGTAAGCATCAGCTGATTCCACAATTTCAGCGCAAAAGGCCGTACTCACTGCACCCCAATAAGTTCCAATGAAA